TTAGAGACCCTCTCCATCGATATCTGCTGCTTATGGAAGACTTGCCTGCAAGACTCGAGCTCTGTGCTCACTCTGCGGTCCGCTTCAGGTGACACAAGTAGTATTTTCTAATTGCACCTATCCGGTGACGATGCAGCTTCGGACACCGGGCAAGCCCTTGTTGGTATTGCACTGAGTACTTGGGCTGAAGATGCTCTGGTTGATTGGATCCTAATTAATAGCCGGATGTGCGCGGTATTATTGGCTGGCTCGTTCAAAGCTTCGAAGTCGCGTGGGACTAACAGGTGTCTATTCATCATCGCTGCCTACGCGCCCACAAACTGTGGCCATGGTTCGGTAAAAGACGACTTCTACTGCCAACTGACCTAGCTCCTTCGCCACAGAAGAAGCAAGGACACTGTTGTGCTGCGGGGAGATCTGAACGCACAAGTTGGAAAGTTGTCCACTAATGAAATGCATCTGGGCGGTCAGCACGGTGTAGGCTCCCGTAATGACAACGGTGAGCGGTTACTTCATTTGTGTGAGGATGCTCGCTTATTTCTTGCGAACACTAATTTCCGACACAGCACTCGCAGTAGGGTGACTTGGCGCGCACCAGCCCCGAACCAGCCTTGGACGCAAATCGATCACCTTGCGATAGGTTACCGATGGAGAGGCTGCGTCCAACATTGTCGCTCGATTTGGAACACGTGTGGACACCGACGATGCACTTTTATGTGCTGACCTGCAAATGCGTTTCCGCGCGCACCCACGACGACGTTGTGAGCGCATTGACACCAGCCAATTGGTGAAACCAGCTGTTTTGAATGCCTCTCTAAGCAAGCTGACATGCGAGTTGAGTAAGCACTCACTGCATGAATTTAAAACTCACTGGTCATGTTCACCAGCCCTTACTGGCAGCAGGTAAGTTTAAACGCCAACATGGACATTGGGTCTCTTCACAGTCTCCGGCACTTATCGATGCTCTCCGGCATATTCCGGCTGGAAGCGAACACAACATGGTTCGCAAAGAGCTCAGGGCAAAACTCCGTGCTAGCATGAACAGGGACCGCGAATTCTAGTGTTCTCATTATGCTTCAGAGATGGAAATGGCCGCTGCCCTTGGTAGCTATAGTAAGTTATTCCTTCTGATACGGAAACGGCCAGCACGAGACTTGGTCTTAATGAAACAATACGTGACGAGAGTGGGCAGCCTATCCACAAGTTGTCAAAACATATAGAGTGTTAGGTTTAGCCATTTGAAAAGCAATTGAATCGGTCGGAATTGTCAGATTTCTCACCGACCAGTGATCGCCCTGCCCCGTTGGCTGTCCTTTTGGATCCGCCCTCTTACTCAGAAGTCGAACGTGAGATCCAACTGTTGAAGTTAAATAAAGCCGCGCGACCAGATGATCTTCATCCAGCCCTCTTCAAATTCGGTGGACCTGCTCCTGTGGATGAATTATATGAGTTAACAGTGAAACTGTGAGAGCAGAAAACTGTCCCAACCAACTGGAGCCGCTCAGTCATAGTCCCAATTTTCAAGGGAGACTCACGATCGGAATGCGGCAGCCATAGAGGAATCAGTCTGATCTCCATCGTTTCCAAATTGCTTGCCTCTGTCATCCTTCACAGACTGACTGGCACTCGTGAAAGCCAGATTCGTGAAGAGCAAGCCGGGTTTCGTCGAGGTCGTGGCTGCATCGACCACATTTTCACCTTGCGTCAGTTGTTGGAGCACCGTCACATATATTGGCTGCCCACCGTTGTCGTGTTCCTCGATATCAAAGGTGCATTTGATTCTGTAGATAGACTTGCACTTTGGGACTGTCTACTCAGGAAAGGTGTACCTGAGAAATATGTGAATATTATCCGAGCATTATATGCGTGTAGCTCGGGCAGTGTAAGGGCCCACGGGCAGTTGTCGTCACAGTGTGAGACAAGGATGCCCGCTGTCGCCTTTCCTCTTCAAATTCGCTATTAACGAAGTCATGGAAATCCCCTTCACAGCACTCGAATTAGAAGGTGTGGACGTGCCCTAATGAGAAGGAATTTTTGACTTGGTGTATGCTGATGATTTGTCCCAATCTGCGACAGCTCAAAAACGTGCCAAGCTTCACTGGACAGATTGACGCTGGCAGTCCTTCACTTCGGGCTTTGCTCTGCATCATCGAAGTGCAAAGAGTTCCTCCAAAATTGGACTGGACCGCCTCCTTCTCTGACCTATGGTGAGGATCTACTAGAAGTCGTTCCAAAATTCAACGACCTTGGAAGCTGTATCAGCCCCCGTGGGATTGAAGACGAGACCACGAACTGTATAGCAAAACCTCGAGGTGCTTTTATCAACCTTCGCCATTTATGGCTCCGGATCGACATCACTCTCGCCCTGAAATGTAGACTCGTTAGAACCCAAGGAGCAGGCGGTAATTGTTTATTACCAAAGTGGCTTACACTACCTGTGTTCGTTCATACATTGGAGGCGTCCGCTCATCTGCGTGATCTCCATGGAGTGCTCCCCAACTGGTGCTTGCCTCTGTGTTCACTCCTCGTGCACATGGAACTGTAATCCTGATGTCATCTTCAACTTTGGGGAAATCGGCAAGGCTCGCTGTTGGTGTGTCAGCTTGCACCACACGACTTATATCCGGCTCAGTAGTATCTACCTTTAATCCACCACACTCCTCCCCCTCCAAAGGATTCGCGTCAGTTGCCTTCCGTCTGAGTCTTTCTGACCGCCGGGGATGTTCACTGTATGAGCGTGTTTCCTCCTCCAATTCGTACCACTTCCTCAGCTCGCTGGCATTCACCCTCCGCGATTCACCTTGCCGAGCGATTGCATACACTGGGCCTCGCCGGTCGACTACCTCGTACGGTCCTTTCCACTTCGCTAGGAGTTTCCTCTCCCCTGGGCCGCAAGTGGGATAGCGTTGATGGTCCCTGTACTTCACTTTCGAACCAATCTGAAACTCGATATTCCTTCCACCTTTGCTGGTCTGGAACTTCGCCATCATCCGCGCCTGAGTCGCCTGTAGGTTGCGGTTGGCGGTCTTCCGGTTATTCCGTGTCTCCTCGGGAGATATACGGCAAGTTGGCCACATTCCAATCTCTAGGTCCACAGGTAGACGAGGTTGTCGACCGTACATCAAATGGAATGGTGATTTCTTTGTGGAAGCCTGTTTGGTTGCTCGATGGGCCAGCAACAGTAGCGGCAGCGCTTCCTCCCAGTCTCCACCTTTTGCTGCTAGCCACTCCTTGATTGTTCTATTGTTACGTTCCGTCAGCACTTAGAGGAATCGACACACTGTATAGTTTTCTTCGGGGTAAGTTTTGCCAAGAGCAACCTGTACCAATATTCCATGAACCGTCGGTTTCATAAATGTTTCGAGTGGGAAAGCGGGGAATGGGTCCAGGAAAACAAAGTGGCAAACGGCGTAGTAAGCCCACTTCCTCCAACTGAAGGTCGAAGACAAGCTCTCACAGATATCCTAGCTCATGGAATTAGTGTACAGCACATTTAGCTGCGAAGAATATGAATTGTGTCAAACAAATTTGCGACCACCGGAGACTCACCTCTTTCAAATGCCTATCACAACGGTGGTCAGCCTCAGTGCCCAGCATGGATCATCCGTGTGCCTGTTCCCTTAGCCAATTTCTGTTCCAAGGCTACCTATCATGACGCCATTACTGTGTGATGTAGGGTCCGATTTCCAGTTAACCCACGTACCACCTTTTTTACACTCCTACACACAAGTACCCTTATGTTCAGACTTATGAACATGGCTCTGTTTCCCCTGATTTGCTCTGTTTGTGTGAATCTCACAGTTTGCACAGCTAAATAGACCAGATCTTACCGCAGCACGTTTCCATTACCCAACACATACTTATTACCATTGGTTCACATGGATTCTTACGGTAAGTCCTGTGTGTTTCACTTTGATTCCATTGTTTCTTTCGCACGCCTGAGCGCACGGGTCGCTCTTGGATCTGAGCGCGAATCGCTGGCATACTTTGAGGTTTGAACTCATTATTATCTATTTTGATACGAGGAATTTGTACAAATAGCACCGTTATATCAGCGTCCGGTCTTATTTTTGTTGTTAAATATGTCGGTGCGATACGCGTGACTTAACCTCCAAACGCTTTGCAACCTTACAACTGGTAATAGACCGACTGACCAAATGCCGGATTGTCAATTTTTCATCTCAATGGTACCAATGTAAGTTTGAAATTCAATTACGTTCCATCCTTGCACGCCGAATAATGCATGACACCAATGGCTTCATTTGTGAAGACCGTTGCGAACGTAGTAGTGCGACTGCTGGTCTGACAAATGACTGTCGATGTTAGATGCATATTTTCATCATTTGTTCGCAACACAACCATACAGTGCGCCATTTCGTAATCCTGAAGCAGAAAATGCGCATACAATACGGAGGAGCATGTATACACGTTTATTTTCAATGTGCCGAACAGGGCGTCAATAAGATAGTGTATAGCTTGACATTACAATCCGAAATCAAAGTCAGTCTTCAAGGTAACTGACGACGCTGAGGACGTTAGATGTCCATTCAATTGACAAACTGTTGTGAGAGTAGTAAGGGGAAGTTTTTCGAGCATTTGTCTCAGGCGTGACGAACTCCGTATGTGCAACAGAACAGACCTCATGGCAACGCAATGAGCAAACCGAGTATTCAGAAGCTACTCACGAACGAAGCATGCTGTGACTGCCGCTCGTTTTCCATTCGTATTGTATTCTATCTCTCTGAAATTCAACTGACTCAGTCATCTTTGAACTAACATAACAAGTTATCGTTTCATTCGACATTCAAGTGGAGCCTGAATGGGCTTTCTACACACTTAGCGCAGTCTATAGGCGTTAAAAGGTGTGCTTCCAAGTATTCATTAACCCATTAGTTATAAATATAAATGCGATTATAAAAACAGAAAGAATTTATCCTTCATATACCGAGTAAGAGGACGATCTGTCATCTCACTATATAATTTCACGTTATTTATTTTAGCTGGGGTCACAAATCAATATACCTTCGATTCCGTATTGCAACCTACAAGTATTTTACCCCAACTAACTTCAGTACCTTTAAACCCCTCGGTAAGTTCGAGTTGTACCGCTATCGCTTTACATAGATCCCAGACTTGGTTCCAAACAGTCAGCATAAGTGGTGTGGTTAGCTATAGATCGTATGTAAATTTACAAACACCCGGCTTATTCCGAAGCAAACTGTGATTTCACTCATATTCGTCTTCAATGTAACCATATGATTCCAAGGAATTTCATTATTCTCATGAAAGATAATACTTCGAGAGAAGGAATTTATAATAGTGCAGATGTTCTATTCATCCGCACGCTAGCTGTCATGTGTGTGGAGTGCAGTGCTCTTCAAAACATTCGCCCGTTTCGCATTGCTCGTATCCCCTCACTTGTGTGCTTTGGAAGCATTAGCGGTTGTGGCTGACGACAGTTAGCAATGCTTTGGGCAAAACCCAAATTGAAGCGGCCTTATTGCCATCTGCACATGACTATCTTCCTAAGCTTTGAAAAATTAGAACTCAATAGATGATGAGAATATGCACACTGAACACTCCTGTGAAGTGGTAGACAGCTTTGACTAGAACTACTCTCATTTCGCACTTTAGCAATGCGGCGAAGAAACGAAAATAAACCACGTCACTTTTAAGTGACATGCTTCCGAGCTTTTGCCACATCCTGCTGTCAGTGAGCCTCTGCACAAAATTCATGGTTTATTACCTATCCGTCTCTACAGCAACCACGCTGCGAGTGATTTCGCGCCTATCGTGCAACCAGCTGAAACACCGCAAGTATAGATTTGCAAAGACCTTTGGAGACAGTAGCCTGTTTACATAAGGTTTGGGTGACAGGGGCATTTAAAATAATCCATATCAAGCAAATAATAAGCAATGCAGTGTTCACTAGGCTTGGAACTCTAACATGGTGCTCCTTTTGTTGTAACTATTGGCAGGGTTTGATTGTAAAATCGACGTAAATTACTAAGCACAGGGTCTAATCTGATTAGCAAACTGAACATGGTTTGCTACTCTGATTTGAAGATCCGCATCCCCCGTCTGCCAAATGCTGATCGATATTTGGTTGGGTCTGATCTGATGAGCTTAAGAAAAATAGTTACTGTCGGGAGGCAAATCTATAGTACAAAGTGATGATATCACGAGTTATTTTGCTTGGGATCTAGTTCACAGATACACATGCACCTAGAAAGAGTAATGGTTTCATTAGTCTCCACTCAGCTGAAACAAGGATGAATGGCTGGTGTCAGTTGTTTCCAAAATCCGCAGTCACCGTTAAGCTAACCGTGAACTGCTGCAAAAAGACTGCACCTACTGTAGAATCATAGGTGAGTTACAGTGCCCTGCAGTCTGCCTGTGGCTGAGTGGTCTGCGCGCCTGGTTTGCAAGCGTAAGGTCACTGGTTCGAATCCGCGTTGGGGTGGGCGTCCTCGCGGTATACTCAGCCCGAGCGCGACTGGTGGTGGTCGCGCGGCAGCGAAGCGCCGTTACGGCGTACAGCTGACACATTATTATTATTATTATTATTATTGTTATTATTATTATTAGTATTATTACAGCGTCCTACACGAAGCTGTATACCGAGGATATAAATTCAGTGCAATCTTAAATGGATAATAAGCAAGCAGATTTGACCCACAGCTGATGTGGAACTGGTTTACAATCCCGCCATATGCACATCCTTGCTATAGAAACGTTCGGAAGTCGGTAAACAGACGTGTATGAGGCCGTGTTTGGGCCGTTGAACTTTCCTCCTACAACCCACCTTCAGGCTTAAAACGGTTCCGAAGGCTTCCAAGGCAACTAATTGCGGGGTATTTAAAGTCGGTACTCAGGGCAGTGGTATCAGAGGAGTAAGTAACTTATCAGCAGTGACAGATCGCGGACAAGCTGAAATATCACTGTGGGCTACATCTCCAGTATCTGTTCAACGTACCCTAGGGCTTTTGTTGATTTTGGCGCGCAAGCACACGACCCACCAGCCCTAGCGCGTGTCACAAAGATGGATAAACGAGAGACACAATAAGCAAAATGTGTAAGCAATACCCTGCATAAATCAGCTCATAACAGTGACCTGGTTAACATGATGGGCGCCTGTCGTTTTCAGTCGCAAGTGATCCGCCACAGACCGCACAAAATTCGCGCTACACCTTATCGACATAGGGTGCGCGAGTCCGGTAAGGCCTATCCACTAACTACCAAAGCAGCGGATAACTTAGGGCTTCCAAAAGTTAAACTATCTCATTTATGCCGAGAAACCTTTCTGTAAATGACGATAGAGAAAATACACCAAGGGTAACAGGTGGGATATCCAATATTTGATAAAATCCAAACTGAATTAGACTATGGATTGCATGTAATGCCAGTGAGGTGCTACAAATACGATGAACGGTAACGCTAATATTCGTTTAAAGAAATGTTCGGTGCCCTCATGATGCCATAACATATCTAGAACCTCTAAGACACCAGTAGTGGTGTGTTGCGGGATTTACATTTTCAGCTTACTGTCATTCATTATGAAGTGGAATGCCACGGACTGACAAAGTTTAGTTGTCATATTTCTTTTATTGTTAAGGATGTCAGATTTAGCGCAGTATGGTCGTCTAATTACATTGGAACCATGGCCTTCGAGATAGGATAGTCATCAATTTTGTAGAGTACTTAGCTGCAACACTAATTAGCGCTTTGCTTTACGATCTCCGGCTAGGTTCATGGGGACTTGGATGTTTCGCAGGAGCCTCAGTGGGATGAGACGTCCATCAGCACCAGGACGACAGAATTGTCGGAAGCCAGAGTCAGCATATTGCCGCAAATAGTGCAAGACCAAACGACTAAAGTGGTAAATCACTGGATTTTGTATTTGGAACGGCTACTTCAACAACATCAAGAACTTCAACAATTGCAGCGACAGCAGCCTCAACAACAAGAACCCTTGGTTTCCTCAGTTTCAGTACTAATGGTAGACGATACGCGTCCATGCTATAGGATTGCGTCTTCCAGTTCTACAAAATGTCTTCCTCAAGGAGTGGAAAGGAGTTCAAGTGAAGTCAGAACAAATTCAACATCAGCCGAGAGACTTGAAACAAGGTCTCCGAGGAGGAGCGATCCAAACATTATATCATTAGCTGAAGGCATGCTGAAAAACAGTGAAGTCTTAGCAGAAACTGATGCGCCGCAGAAGTGTGCTTCTCGCCAACAGAAAAGTGAAACAAGGCAGACTTCAGTCAAAGATACTGCAAATTTATTGGATGTTGCAGCAGAAGAAATAGGCCCACCTAGCCAAAAGATGCTTACTCCTGATGCTAAAGTCGCCAAAGAAGTGGCTACCGAGGACCAGTCTGTTTATGGTGCATATATACACGTGAGTATGACAATGATCCTCTATTATTTCTCTGAGCCTGTGTACCGTAACGTGACTAGCTACCTGCTTTTTGGTGTATGTTGTATTTTTCGATAGTATACCAGTAGTCTCAGTTAAGGTTGTGCGGGGAACAAGGTCGCATGGGGTGATGTACTCCGTCGGGAGCAGAAAACCGACCATGGAACAGCAGTTTTACAATCGAACATGTTAATCTTGTTTAAAAACGGTACAAATGTATTGTATGCAGCAAAATGGACAGATAGGTAACAACTGAATACACCAGACAGATGTCTGATAGCCGGTTGAAGTGAATAGCCATGTACTCAACCATAAAGAGATATGAATCTCGGTGTCCAACTCTCTCCATAAAGGCAGTAGGTTTATTTATAACAAATAGCACCTCCCCAGTGTAACTGCATGCTGATCTGTTTCCTGTTACCGCAGTAACTACATGTAATCCTAAAGAAAGCGCATCTCCTGATGTCACCAACAGAAAGCCAGATAACGCCCATTATATACTCACAGATAGTTGAATCGGAGGGAAACGTTACAAGAATGAGACCACATGACGGTCGAATCGCTGTCGGTCGAACAGACGTGAGGAATTCTTCAAACACGTACAAAGCAAGTCTAGCAGCTTGCAGTACAACTACGTCTTAAGTCCTTACGTTACATCTACATGACCTGTTGGATTGGAGCATACTCAGAATCATCTTGAGGATAAGGGTAGCTTCTCTCTATACTATTAAGAGAGCAAGTACTCAGTTCAGCCTTATTTCTAGAGTAACACCTTAGACGCTCAAGCATGTCATGTTACCAGTTTGATCCTAATCGTGTCTGAGAATAAACTATTACCAGATGTGTTACGTAGCTTTGTTACGTAAGTTTGTTCATATGCTGTGATGCGTTGTAAATGGTTACGTTCAGTAAATGTGCGGTTCTTGGGCCATGGGAAAACTGTAGGCACCGTATGATACGTCTGTCGTGTGAAAGATACGAGGACCCAGTACTTTGTTGAGCAATGGGCAACGAGCACAACTGTCTCCTTAGTTGATGACAAATGCACCAGTCTGCAAGCAATAAGCATATGTTTAACGCTTTTTTTTAATATCAGCAACTGTGAAGTCAGAATTATTTGTAGATAACATCAGATGTGGGATTATTTATTAATTTAATGCTTACATACTTATTATTAGATTAAAGGGCAAATAATCCGTCGGTTTTTTCTGAAGCAACCATCAAAGGATCTCAGTGGACGGATGTGCAGGGTACGGATTAACACAATTCCTTGACTATAACCAAAGATTATCAAATATATTAAGCTTATTCCAGTGTTGACCACGTGACCTTATTTACATCCCCACTCATCTGTCCAACATTTTCTGTCGGGTACAATGGACTCATAGGCATCCTATCACTGAATAAACGACAGGTTGCTCGAACGGTCCGACCAGCACGTCGGTGGCTCCATGATAAAAAGTAGTCCAGTGGATGGAGCTCCGTGTGAGTGTGATGAAGCATGCGTCGGGCGGTAATTCAACTTGCTACTGCCATGTGCAGACAGATAAGATAGGAAACATTGCGTGGAAGTCCAAGTAGCCGAAGGCGAAACGTTTTGGTGATCAGGGAACTCCAAAGTGATGAGTGTCTTTTCCAAATAATTCAGAGTATCTTGTTAACTATTGCTCATAATTGCAATTTTGGAATTTGACAATGGAAATTCCCAAATGATGTTTAATTTAATTTTAGTCAACCACAATTTGGATATGATATGTGGCAGGCGCAGTAGATAGATTACTCATTCAATCAAGACATAACCTAACGGGGAATCCCTGGTGATTTCGCACGTTTGTTGCATTGGCTGCTTTTAAGAGTTTGCTAGCTATGCAGGTGTAGTCACTGAGCGGAGCGATGGACCAGTGAGTTCGCTACGCGTAAAAAGCAAAGGCTTAACAAAACCGGTAAGTGAAGTGAACGGAGCCAAAATGTGGAGAAATTGCTTATTGGTGGACTGATCGTATGGCTCAAATGTGCACACAATTTGCTTGATTCCTGTCATGACCCCAAGATCACGTTGTGAAGGTCGCTTTCGAATTTAGATAAATTAGAAGCAGAAGTCACGCAATTCGAGAGCTTTCCACAGTCAGCAGATCCGAAAGGAGAAGATATGCTGGTATAATAAATGTCTGAGTCCTCGGGGCCAAATAGTTTTTAGCACTTAGTAAGCAACTTGTTATTTCCTGTCAACAGTCTGAATAGCACAGGTAGAAGGCGAACACTGGTTGATGTGCGCATTTCGTATTGTCTCATGAGCAAAAGTACAACAAGGCGAAATCATTTATGTGATCTTCAAAGCGTGTTACCAAAACGATCGTATGCAGTGAGGCGACGATAACCCTAGGACCATATCAACCAAAGTGTGACAACCGTTATCTGTGCACACACACAGCAGGTCTTAGCTGGCTTATCGTAAGAGGCGTGACTTATGGTGCGTAATAAAATCCGAAACACCAAGCCAGGGTTAGTTCGATGAGGGGACACAAAGTTGTGTCTGTTTAATGATGATGTCCGCTACTTACACAAGTACGGAATATTGAACAAGGGTTTGTTGATCTCACGTGGCAGCACCATCAACGGCAGTACATCAGCCATTTGAACTGATGCCTCGCGGCCATAAAACCACGGTGAGCTAAGGAACGAAGAACAATAACAGGAAGAGAAGGGGGATCCGGTGTAAAGATTTATTGCTCTCAACCAGGCATTCTCAATCTTTATTTAACCGTGGTCCCGTTTCAACCTTTCTATTTCTCATGGCCCCCCACCCTTGGTCACCAAATTGCATCAATACTCAAAGCCTAACAGACGTTAGGCTGTGATTTCCAGTGAACATTTTGTATAATGGCTAAATTTTTATTATAGACATCACAACACTCCCTTATAAATCTCATTTTCTAATTTTCATAGCCACATGATGACATTTATTGTGCAGCAAAATCAAACCACTTATCTGTGATTACACAGAAGTCCTTAGTAATATTTAATATTATATTTAAGTGTTCTTATCTTTGGACTGTAAAACGTGAGGAATTAAGAGGTGTAGTAACTTCTTAAGACAACTTTTGTCCAATTATAAATGCAAGCCCTGAGCCTGATATCATTGAGCAAGCTTACTTATGTCCCGCTCCAGGGTTGACATCCAGAGTCCAATTACCTCCTCTTGCAGTGATGTGCAGACTGTTTCCATTTGTTGTTAGCGAAACTACCTCACTAAATTCACATGTAACCAATTATGTGGATGGAAATCAAGAATATATACTTCAGCTACTTCCTACAGTCGGAGATATCTGTTAGGGGAATCACTTCTTATCTAAAACTCTCTTTTGTATTGCGTGAATTGAAAGCTTGCTACTGCGTTATTTTGAAAGTGCATAACAGTTCACTAGATTTTAACTCCAGCCTTTCAGGACTGTGCACATCAAGTGGATCAAAAGTCCAAATCGGGACTTCAGTTTCAATCAGATCATGAAACTCGTCTTTTATTCGTTGGAAATGACTAGCACATACAATCCAATCTTCATCCTTTGGCTCCCCGTGACGGTAGCAAGAATAGGGAACTGTGCACATTCCCGACATCCAAATTATGCGCATACACTTCCAGCTTCTTAAGAAAGGGGATAATGACTTCTTCGCTTGATTTGAGATCACTCAAGTTGCCTTGAAAGCTTTTATTTAATAAGTTGAGTTTTTCGAAAACATCATCCAAGATAAAACACTTCTGGCTTAGCTGTTAACAGTTTTTTTTCGCCATCAGTTCCAGAAAGTAATTTAATGTTGTTGTCTCAGCGTGCAACAAACGGCGAACACAGTTGATCTTGGAAACCTATCTAACCTCTGCATACAGCAAAAGAACCTGGACATCTTCGCTGTTTTCTTCACACAACTTCTAGAAAAGACTATGAACATGAGGGTGCGAATTGCTACTGTTGAATAGTAGTATAACAGTTGGCAGTGAATCATCTAAGGGCCATCCCAAGTTCTTAACCGCCGGATGCTCTCGGTGAAATACACAGCGTATTGTATGAACAGAAGGGAAAACATTTTTATATGAACAGTGAATCCTTTATATCTTCCAACTATTGCAGCAATACCAACCGCCTCACTTGCAAATATTATAAGCATACCACTTGCGAAGAGAATTCTTTTCGGCAAATCACCTCAGGTAAATACAAGTTCACGGCAGATAAAGGTGACAGGTAAGCGAACGCTGGGTAAAAACGTCAACAAGGTTGAGAACTACTGTTCTACAGAGACAGCAATTCCCCGCGTGCAGAGTAACCACGCAAAATCGGAATGCTACTGGCTAGTGCAACCTAGCCGCAAGACGTGTACGCAAGCCGAGACTGGAGAGGAAAAACGCATAATCTAACCCTATTGTACTGAGAACTGAACGAGAAAGAAAGACTGATCGGCACACGAATTGTTATTTAGTGGCAGCGTCCTGGGGAATACTCAGTTAGTATCAATGTGGCAGTGCAGGGGAGAGTTCACTGGGTTTACTGCGGCTAGGCGTCATATTTCTGGGGACGGCTCAGTCTTTACTTGCACAGTCTGAGTCGCCGTATGGCGATTGAGATGAGGCCGACGAAATATACGCAAGTTTCGGGAGATCTCTGCCAGCTCCACCAAAGAAAATCTGCCCAGTTTTGCTTTCAGTCCTTCGTAAACATCCAATTGTTCACGCGTTATTCCTTTCACTGACCGGTAGTTACCAGGGCTTATTAGTGCGTGGAGAAAAACTGTCAGAAAATTCGTTAAACTCATTTTGTTATTCGCGTTACGACAACCCAATTTTCAAGTTATGACTCCTCCATGGCCCTCTAAAGTTTTTATCATGCCAGGGCCCCCCGGAAGTTCTCTATGGCCCCCAGAGGGGCTGTATGGCTCTCGCTGAGAATGGCTGCTCTATATAAACGTGCAGGGTCATGGGGCCTACATACTGT